GCGGGTGTGGCGGCGGGTGAGGGGATCCTGTCCGGGTGAGGCGGGAGCGGGCCGGCTCCACTCGGCAACCGGGGCACGGTGTCGTCCCCCCTCCGGTTCTCCCCAGTGGCAGGTGAGGGCTCGGGGCCGGCGGGCAGAGCTCGGTGAGGAGCCGGGGCGTCGTGCGGCGGGGCTGGGCAGCGCTGCCCGCCCTCTTGCCGCGGCGGGGAGGCGGCCGGGGCGGCGGGAGGGCTGAGGGGCGGCCGTGCCCGGCGGTGCCTCCTTCTCCGCGGCATAAAGCCTCGGCTGGTCCCCCCTCCGCCGCTGGTGCTGGGCCTGGGGAACAGCCGGCTTGTGGGGTGTTCCCGTGTCGTCCTGCAGCCCGTGTGGCTTCTGGACCCGGTGAGCGGCTGTAGAAGCCAACCCAAGGACCATCATCTCCTCCTCCTCCTGGGAGAGCGTCTGGCGGCTGCAGACCATGGCTTTCAACGTCGCTTCGCCCAGACGTGGTTAATCCAGCTTGAACTTCGTGCGCAGAACTTCAGAGCTGCTCTTCGTACAGCAAAAACTAGGCTAAAATCAGGTGTTTTGTACAGGGAAGGTGGGTGGTGCGAGTGGTGGGGTCTCCATCCCGGTCCCCAACACCCCTCGGGGGGTTGGTTCGGGCCGGGGCTGGGGGCAGCGAGGTTTGCTGAGGCTCTGCCTGCCTTTGTGAGGCCAGGAGCGATGGGTGCGCTGGAAGTTTGTGGTAAAGTTAGTGAACGGGCAGGACACGCTGCGTTTCGGGAGTTTGCTGCTGGAAATCCTAGCAATATGGGTATTGGGACAACTTCCGAGAATGGATATTAAAAAAGGAGGCGAGCGGTGCTGCCAAGCCTGTACAAACCAGGCTTTGTGGCAGCGGTGGGAGGGAAGGCAGAGGGATAGCTGTGCAGATGAGGATGTTCTTTTGCTGCTCTCTGGCATGTGTGTGCTAAATCGGGGTAAAACATGCAATGCAAGCCCTATTTTTTGCTTATGCTGCGTTTATACTAATGTAACTGCTGATGTCATTGCATGGGTTAAAACTTCCCTGCTCTGCAAAGGGTGCTAGATTTTTGGAAGGCTGGGGAGGATCAATGTATTGAGTGACAGCCAAGGGCATGAAATTCGTTTCTGGTTATTGATACAGCATCCATCTGCTTTGGCTGATGGGAGCAGCTTCTGCATCTGCAGGTGGTTAAATTGGCTTCTTTTCTCTAGAGCCTGGTTAATCCTGAAGTGTAACTGGTAGCAGGTGTGTACTGTGATACCTGGGTAAAGAAGGCTGTATGGTTTGAGTGATTGCTGGTGAATGCAGGTGCCCCAAGGGAAAGTATCCGTTTGAATTTGGGGTTTATGAATGTTTTTAAAAGTTCTCACTCCGCCTCTTTCTGTCTTCAGAAGCAGCCAAAGCCCCAGCCTGAAATCCTGTGTCTTCTGGCGTTAGAACGAGCGGGTGCTGGAGGAGGTGAGCTGGTGCTCGGTGCCTGACCCGTGCCCTGCGCTTCCCCACGGGGAATTAGGAGCAATGGGAGAGGGACAAGCCTGGGGAGACACAAAGCAAGAAGAGATAAGACTCTGCATCTAAGCCTTTGGAGGCACAGCCCCTTCAAAACCATTGCTGTTCACAGCGGTGGGTTATCATCCCCTGTCTCCAGCGTGTTACCCGTGTGTAAGCTCTTTTATTTTCTGTAGGCCTTACTGCTCCTCGAAGTGAGCTGGAGTTACTTTCTTTTGCAAGGAGAGGCTGTGAGAGGAAGTAGTTGTTGCGTAGAAGCCAAGAGGAAAGGAGGAAAGAGACAGGAATTTCTTAAGCTGCTGTTTGCCCTGAGAACAAACAGTTACAATCAGGCTGTGAAGTGCAAATAAGGTTTCCAAATCCCTGGGCAGTTGCATCTGCAATAGTTTTTGCAATAAGAGTGCTGGGGGGACGTGCCCCTTTCTGGTTTTAAGTGAGAGTTTGAGAGGTGGTTATTTGACATGGTGGCTTGTGATAGAGGATGGGACCAGTGACCTTAGACCTTCAGTGTCCTTCTCGGGCCTGGGATGGGGAGAAGTTGGCCTTGGTTCACGCTCAGGCCAGGTTCAAGGTTGGAGATGATCACGGGGTGGCTGCTCAGGGGACTCTGTAGGACTATTATAGCACTTGGTCCGTTTCCCGGTTTGCCAGCGTCGTGTCACAGAAGCAGCTTTGTGTGGATCCTGGTGCACGTTCTTGTTGGCTGGTGACTTTGGGTTAAACTTGAATGTAAATTCTTGGCTCCTCCTGGAGGCTTTTCCTTTTGATTCTGGCAAGGGGAGGATGGAGGCGCGTTCCCTCTGATGTGCACAGAGACCTCTAATTTGTGCTTTCAGTCTGGCGTTCCTTTGTGAAGTGCTCAGGAAGAGGATGTACTGTAGTCAATAGAGTCACTCTGTTTTCTGCAGCGTTTTTCTCATGAAGGGGAATCAAGCTGCGTTATTGCCCTTTTCCAGGGTTCCTCTCTGGCACTGGTAGAGTTAACAGAAGTGGAGTCATTTCGATTCCGGGCCGCTCGCTCGCTGCTGTGTGTCTTGGAAAAGCCAAAAGCTCTGGCAGACCTGCGTGCTGTGTCCTGGAAAGCAGGCTGGAGCCCTTGGGCTGCACTCAGTGAAGCTACGTTATGGTGGTGGCTTTGACGAAGAGCCCTCCTTCTGTTTGCCCGAGGAATGCTTGTCTGCCACACACAGTGTCTCCTTTGCTTCTGTGGCTGCTGCCCAGGGGGTGATCTGTCCTCGCTGGGGTTGGGACAGCTTTGCAGAAACGCCCCAAGCTGTGGAAGCTGCTGGGTGTAGGGGTGGCAGAAAGGGATGCTCCGTTGCAGCTTCCCGGGCTTGCTGCATTCCAGCCAGCCTAGAGGCCTCGGGTGGCATTGGAGACCCAGTGTGCTAGGAATTCTGTGCGCAGTGGGCACCCTATTCATCCCGAGCAGGGGGCAGTCCCTGCCCTCGGCAGCGAACCGGCTGGAAAGCAAGAACAGATTCGAGGCAAAAACGCACACCCAGAAGTGTGCCAAGCAGTAGGCTTGGCAGCCTCGCTCCATTATCTTCTGCTGTTGGACCCAGATGCCTGGCCTGAAGTGCTGACGCACATATGTAATTTGCCCCTTCTTTAACTCCCTGCTCATCTCTCTGGGTGTTCTTAGATCTGCTCCGTCCTCAGTCTTGACGAGCTAAAGATTTACTGCTGAGTAATGCCTGCTTCTTGCTCCGCGGAGTGCAGAGTGTTCTGACTGCAGTTCCTCCAGCTCCTCTTTGCATGTAGAGTAACAGCCTGGCTCCAGGAAGCACAGTGTGTGGTGTTGCGTTGCAAAGCCACATGTTACGCTACAGCCACACTGAATTTCTGGCTTTCCCCACCTCTGAAGCATAAATAAATACACCAGGGTAGAAAAAACCCTAAATCTTCGGTTCTGCATTTTATGTCTTTTAGGACAAGCTGAGATAGTACATTGACATGTAACTGTATCTGGTATAGTTCCTGGTTCTTACTAAATTCTGGTCTAAGGCTTTTGGTCTAGTGTTTGAAACCAGGACTTTGGTAAAATTGGGCATCCCTGAGGCATAAGCACAGCCACAGATGGTTCTTTGGAGAAGTCATTCAATGCTCAGCTTCAAAAGTGCTGAGTGTGTTTCCCCCGGGAGTGACAGAGCTCAGCCCTTTTGCGTATCTGGACTCTCAGGTTCTTCTCATCCCTGCTCAGGGTGGGGTTGCTGCTCTGCAAGGGTGGTGTGTGAACTGGCTGGGGAACAACCTCTGTGTTTCGGGAGGGAGAGAGACACAATCTTTGTTTTGAAAAGCTTTTCAGGGCAGGCTGGTGTTTGCAGGGTTTGTTCTGAAGCCGTTGGGGAGAATGGGGATGTCTGGCAGACAGGGTGGTGCTTGGTTTCTATCTGTAGGTTCTGTTCTGTGTTCATAATCAGGGGCTTGGAGGAGAGGAGGAGATTGGAGTGACTACTTCCTGCTTGTCTTTTGGCACTAAATCTTGCAGAGAGCGACTGTAAAAGAGCAAACCTTGGTTTCTCTCTCAAAATACTAGATAGCTGCTCCTCGCTTTACTGTGTTGTTCTTCCCGGGCTCCTTGATTGCTTGGAGAGAGAGCAGGGCTGGTGTGCCAGCCTCCTCCAGAGAACATGCAGCAGGTGGGGAGATGGATCTTGCTGGTGGAAAGGGGCTGGCAGTCAGCAGGGAAGCAGGTAGCAGAGAAAAGATGGGACTGGTTGAAGTAAATAATAATGAAGTAAATAAGGGTACAGCAGAGGGTTCTGATGTACCCTCCAGAAAAGATCTTCTGAGCTGCCCTTTGAACAGTGATTTTTCACCTGTCTTTGGTGAGCAAGGTTAGGGATGAGTGTGATAGAAATATGAATTATGTTAAACCAGGAAAAGAGGTCCTGACTCAACAGAATCCAGACTTGGACAAAGATTTACCAGAGCATCCTTAATCAGAAATCATTCTGTTAAAAGTAGTCATTCCTTTAGGTTTTTATTGATGGGTGGCTCTTATCAAGACCGTGTCCTTTTGGGGGATTTTGTAGGAAAACTGTTTGTGTAATCTCTGTTCTTGGCAAAATGAAGGAGCTACCAAGACAGGCTTTGGAGGTGTCATCCTCACACAGATTAAATAAGATGGTGTGTTTGGGCCAGTGATGTTCTCTCCACAGGGGCTTGCATTAGCCACTGAGGCAGCGGCGTCTTCAGCTGTGTAGTTACAACTCCAATAAGGTCTTTGTTTTCAGCACAGCGGTTCAGAGCATCTTCCTGGGGAGAGGAGGTGACGATGCGATGTCACAAGCTAAAATTGTGGATTAAGCCCTCTTTCTTCCTGTTGTGTGTTAGATACGTTTAAAAATCAAGGAGGTCTGAAAGGTAGTTGGCGCTGCGTTCTTTCTCTATATAATTGTATTTTTTAACACACTCAAACTTCCCTCTGTAAACTCTAGGCCCGAAATCTTTATATTTTATTTATTTGTTTAAAGTAAAACAGAGCTGCTTTTGAAATTGCGTGACTCTAGAAGCTCAAGATTGATAAAAATCAATGATTGCTGTGAAAACTAGGAAAATTGCAACGTGTTGTGCCTCCTTTTGGCCTCTCAGCTCTTCTCCGTGGGGTCTCTGTGGATACCTCAGACTCACACAGCTCTCCCCATGCAGAAATGGATGCTCAGGCCTCCGATTAGTCTTGATTGTGCAAGGTTGTTCTCTCCAAACCAGAGTGACTGAGGGTTCAACTGACTTTTTTTTTGTCTGATGCCTTTCCAGGCTCCTGGTCCGCAGCACCATGCTGGATCCCAAGCAGCGCTCTACAAGCCGGAGGTGAATCCAGGTGAAAGCCAGCTCTCACAGTAGGTGTCAGGATGACCAAAGCACGGCTCCTCCGTCTCTCTGTGGTGCTGGTCTCCATCTTCATGATCCTCCTCATCATTGTTTACTGGGACAATGTGGGAACGGCTCACTTCTACCTGCATACGTCCTTCTCCAGACCTCATTCCCCAGGAGCCATCCCTGGCATCACGGCAGGTGAAGACTGGGAAGCCTTGCCAGATGTAGATGAATTTCTGGCAAAGCTGCTTAGTTCCAACCTGAAACAGAACAGTTCCATCCCCCGAAAGACAGAGCAGCTCCTCGTCCAGGGCTCCAGCAAGCCTGTGGTGAGCAATTTGGAGGAGAACGTGCGGGGCTATGACTGGTCTACGCACAATGCCCGAAACAGCTTGGACCAAGAGAAACTGCAGATGGAGCGGCAGAGAACGTTGCGGGAGTTTTGTGCCAATTCCAGCTTCGCTTTCCCTACCAAGGAGCGCTCCTTTGATGACATCCCAAACTACGAGCTCAACCACCTGATCGTGGATGACCGCCACGGCATCATCTACTGTTACGTCCCCAAGGTGGCCTGCACCAACTGGAAACGGGTGATGATTGTGTTGAGCGAGAGCCTGCTGGACCAGGGGGTGCCCTACCGGAACCCTCTGGATATCCCCCGGGAACACGTCCACAACACCAGCACCCACTTGACCTTCAACAAATTCTGGCGCCGTTACGGGAAGTTCTCCCGGCACCTCATGAAGATCAAGCTGAAGAAGTACACCAAGTTCCTCTTTGTACGAGACCCTTTTGTCCGCCTCATCTCTGCCTTTCGCAGCAAATTTGAGCTGGAGAACGAGGAGTTCTACCGGCGTTTCGCCATCCCCATGCTAAAGCTGTACTCCAACCATACCAACCTTCCCACCTCCGTCAGCGAGGCCTTCGGGGCAGGCCTCAAAGTCTCCTTTTCTGACTTCATCCAGTACTTACTGGATCCCAGGACAGAGAAGATGGCCCCCTTCAATGAGCACTGGAGGCAGGTTTACCGCCTGTGCCACCCGTGCCAGATAGACTATGATTTCATTGGGAAGCTGGAGACGTTGGATGAGGATGCTGCTTATCTATTGCAGCTCCTCAAAGTGGACAGGCTGCTTCGCTTCCCCCCCAGCTACCGGAACAGGACTGCCAGCAGCTGGGAAGATGACTGGTTTGCCAAAATCCCTCTGGCTTGGAGGCAGCAGCTCTACAAGCTTTACGAAGCAGACTTTGTACTGTTTGGCTACCCCAAGCCAGAAAACTTGCTTAAAGACTAAAAGTGATTGGGTGGTGGGTGTGGGAGGGAACGTCTGAAATACCAAAAATGTTTAAAGCTTCCTCATTTTCGCTCTTAACTCCCTTCCCCATACAGGTTGGTACAACGGAATATATTTTTTCTACCACTTCCCCTTCCATTTTTGCAATAATGCCAGAGTCCAGGGTGTTCCAGCCGTGCATCTGCAAAAAATGCCAGATTTTTTTGGTTATCCCTTGTTTTCTGGGTTTTCTTTTTTTAAAACGTCCCCATGTTTGGCAATGGGTTGCTGCCCTTGGTCACTCTGCCAGCGGTGTCCTTCAGTAGCTTTTTATTAATACTTTTTAAAAATTAATATATTTAAGATATTTAATACGAAGTGTGTGTGGTGGCGAAGGAAGGGAAGGAATAAAAAAAAAAAAAGAAAAAAAGTAAAAGAAAAACCCAAGAAGCGATGCCCCTGCCTCTGTGTGTTGTCTCAGGAGGTTTGCAGAGCACTCGTGTCTGTCTGGGAGCTGGGTTGGTGGTGCCTTCACCAGCCACGTCTGCTGGTAGTTGCTCTGAGGCAGAGGGGATGGGTCAGTGCCAGATGTTGCCAAAGAGCCCTGAAGAACACTAGTGCTCTGGTGACACGCACCATTCCCAGCTGGTGAACGTGACACCAGGGTCACAGGAAGGAAATGGCTGTTGGGCCCAGTGACGCCAAGCCCCGTGGGGTGTTCCAGGACATGCAGGTGGCCAACACAATACCTCTGTGCTGCTTCATCTTCCAGTAAAGGCTGGTGGGACTCTGCTTCCCTAAAAGCTGATGTTCCTCAGCCCCTGTGTACCTGCTAGAGTAGAGCATCTTCTGTGACATGTCCCATTCCAGGACGGTGCCTGAAGTTAGAATAATTTGGGTTGGAAGGGACCTTAAAGATCATTGAGTTCCAAACCCCCTGCCCTGGGCAGGGACACCTCCCACCAGCCCAGGTTGCTCCAAGCCCCCTCCAACCTGGCCTTGAACCCCTCCAGGGATGGGGAATCCGTATCTTCTCTGGGCAGAAGTTCTTGGGTGTTGTGTCCAACCTGGATGGGCAGAGTGTGCTCTTGGATGAACGTGCTGTCCAGAGGAACTGGCATCCAGGCTTCACGCTGCAGTGGCTTACACAGGTTGACCATTGTCACACCATTACAGGACAGGGAGGTGATGTGCTGCTCCGTGACCTGGTCAGGGCTGTGTGTGGTGCAGGTGCCTCGAGAACTCCCCTGTCCTCATTCCTGGGCACACTTTAAGGGGATGTGGCAGGGATGTAGGTCTTTATCCCTGGAAGAAGATGCTCTGAAAGGTTTCTTTCAATAAGCAGTCGTCAAGGTGAACCCAAAGTTCATTTGTTTTCCGAGTGCCTGCTACCGCGCGTGACGCTGCATCCTCATCCGCCGCCTTTCTGTTTATACCAAGTGACTGATGCAGATTTAATCATCTGCCTTGCTGGGACCTGCTGCAGGAGCCATGGTTGCCCACTGTGCTGGGAGCATGTGGGCTGCTTCCCAAAGGAAATTAGTGCTTTGAGAGAGAATTTTTGTGTCTCATCAGCTGAATCTGCTTCTTTCTTTCTCTCTGAATTGCTCTACAAAAACTGTCTGCTTAGCAGATTGGGCAGGCGACTCTCTCAGAGCTGAAATGCTTAATTATTTCCCCGGGCTGTGGATGGTATCAGTGATTAACGTCCAGGGTCAGGCCTTGGGAGAGGCAGCCCTGTGTTTTGGGTAGATGTCTTCATGTTGGCCTTTTACTCGGTTTCTCTCCAAGGCCATCAGCAGACGTGACTCTTCCCCTCTCTCTCTGCTTCCCCAACCTCCGGACGCGTGCATCGTCTTGGCATTGCATGCTCTTCCTAGCAAATAGCTGTATCAGGCTTTTTAACCTACAAATGAAAGGTAATTGCTAATAGTTAAGCTCAAAGCAAATTAGTTTCTCATTGTATTCGCACCACACTCGTAATTTCTGTGGATATTTGCAGTTTCAATGAGCCTGAAGCCACGGTCAGGGTCTCGGTGCTTAGCTCTTCACAGCTTGGGGAAAAAGGAAGTGCCTGTTTCTGAGTCATTATTTAAAACTAATAATAGAAAAGTGTTGATCTATTCAATATTTTTTTTCCAGTTACCAGCTAATTGCTGCCAAACAGAGAGATGTTGAGAGTCTCGTCTCCTGTAATGAGTAATCCCGGGAGTCTCTTGGTTCCTGCTGCATTTACATTTCTTCGGGGTGGGTTCATCCCGCTCTTCAGAGGTAGAGCGCGGATGTTTTCATCTCTTGTCTTTACAAAGTGTTTATTTTTTTTCTCTTTTAATTTAAATTTAATTGATGTTTAGTATGTGTAGAGGTGGGCGGTTGGGACTGTGGCGCAGATGCCGTGCGAACTTCCTTCCAGCTGCTTCCCCTGAACCTCTTGGTCTGGTCCTGTCTCTTCCTGCCCTTCCAACCAGCTCTTGGCTGACGTGGTGCCTGCTCCCCCTGCAAAAACGTGGCTACTGCCTCCTCAGCAGCAGTTCTCCTGTGATTCCTGGCCATGGCTTGTCCCGGGCAGGAGCCCAGGAGCATCTTTTCAAGGTCAGCAGCTGTCAGTGGGGCAGCCGGGGCAGAGGAGGAGTGGGGTTCTGTGCTATCATCGTTTTTAGGCAGCGGGGTCCTGGTTGTGCAATTGGCAGAGAAGGTGCAGAACGGCTGCGTATCCTGCACGGCAGCTGCTCCGTGTGATGGGAGAGCAGATCTTCTCCTTAGACTGGACATTAGGAAACAATTCTTCACAGAGAGAGTGGTCGGGCATTGGAATAGGCTGCCCAGGGAGGTGGTTGAGTCACCATCCCTGGCTGTGTTTAAGAACCGTTTAGATGTGGTGTTGGGGGATATGGTGTAGGGGAGAACTTTAGAGTAGGGTGGATGGCTGGACTTGATGATCCCGAGGGTCTCTTCCAGCCTAGATAATTCTGTGATTCTGTGATTTGACAGCAATATAAGAAAAAAACTCTCTCTTCGCTCGTGGACATTAGCCAGAGAGGGGAGACTTTGAACACACCCATTTCTCTCCTCTCTCCCCACCCAAAGCTGAAAAAAGGGGGTAAATTCCAGCATTATGTGCTAATACCACCCCAGCTGTGATGCTGAGCGAGCTCCCTGCATCCCAGCGGCTCCATCAGCCTCCCTGAGAGCTGCAGTCGGGGTGTATGGGTGGCGTAAGGCCACGGAGGGCTCCTTCTTGTGCACTTTCCCTCTTTCACCCCGTTGAGTCCATCCCATGTTGACATTTAAGACACTTTCATCTTTGCAGGCTCCTACCAACACGCCGGGTGCTGTTGGCTGGCATTTCCCATTGCCACGCTTCAGAGGACTTGCCGGGAGGAGCAGTAACGCGGAGAGGGACGGAGAGGGTTCACGTTGCAGTGGGTTGCTTTGGGGTTCAAAAAAGCTTGTTCTTCACTGCTCTTCCCTTTTGAAGCCCTCCCTCCCCACCCTTCCACCGCTGTGAATGCATTGTTTAAAAAAGTCAAAGGGGACCCAGGCTGCGCTGAGCTTTGTGGTGAGACCTCTGGGTTGCCAGAACTGGGATGGAGCCTCCGGCTTTGGGAATGTGCATTTTTTGTGGGTTCTTTTCTCTCTTCTAATGGTGTAGAAGTGTGCGGGGGGTGGAAAAGAAGGACAAAGAGTTCAACCAGCCATGCTTCCTCCCTCCCCCCCCCACTCCCCGGTTTCCTAAAAAAGCTGGAATTTGGTATTTGACAAATAATGGCAGAATGACTGGAAAGGGCAGGCAGCGTGCATCCGTGCTGGCCTGCAGTCAGAAGGGGGCTGAAAATCCTGGAGTGTAGATGGTTATGATGCTAGTCCTGATTTTATAAGGGGTAGAAAAATGCTTTGAAGCAGCCTGTTTGTATCCGAATAAGCCTGGCTTTGTCATTTCATGCTCAGCCTGCAAAATTACGTCCTGTTCCCCTCCTGGCTTGCTTTTCCCTGGGGTTGACCACTTGGCCGAAGTCAGCCCGGAGTCTCTAACCAGGCAGAACCGATGGGCAGAGGCAAAAATAACCTGGGGTTTGACCAAGATGTTTCCAGCTGGGTGGAACTGAGACCAGCTTTAGCGTTTGCTCGGCGTTGGGGCCTAGGTCTTTACACAACCATTGAGCAGAGCTGGTCCCTTGCTGTCGGATGCCAGACTAACCGCTGCGGTGGGATGTGGCTGACCTGGCCCTGCAGCCCCTGTGTGCTCCAGGGAAGGACTGTCAGCCTTCAGAGCATCTTCCTTTTGAGCAGTGACATGGTTTTGCCAGGGCACAGAGTGTCCTTAACACATGAATACCTTTGCATCTGGGTATTTTTTGCCTTAACCCTTTAATTCACTTAGGGTTTAGGGGGACAGAATTCTAGGCCCGCTCCCCGCCGACAACAAAAAAGCTGCCCCGGGGTAACGCGGGAGGAGAAGCGTGTTTGGCCGCGTGTTTTGCATCCCCGAAGGTGGCACGGGGAGGATGGAGGGCAGGGGATGAATGGCAGCATTGAAAGGGTGGCGAAGAAAAGCCAGTTTGTTTCTCCTCTCCTTATGTAAGCGGGACCTTTGCGGCGGGAAGGCCGGTGACTTGGCAGGGTGCTGCATGGCTGCGGTGCAGACCCGTGCCAGGGAGGGCAGGGGGGGGTGCTGACTTACAAGCCAGTCGTGTTGCTTGAATTTCAGGGCTTGCCCGTGTTGGTCTTGATTGTAAACCTCGAATCAAGGGGGAAGAAAAAAAAAAAAACCATCGATACCTGGGTTTTTGGGGAAAGAGATGGGGAGGGTGGGTGGCACTGGGTGTGGAGCAAGCGTAATGCAAGCTCTTCTGCTTCTCTCATGGATTAAATCAAGTTGGGGATCTAGTGGAGGGTGAGGGTTGTCACTGTGGGAGCTGGGTGGTGGTGGCAGAGCCCTGGGATGGGATAGGGTTAGGGATGGGGATGGATGATGCTCGGCAGGGCTGGCAGAGCCTCCGACTGCTGGTGCTGTGTCTGTGCAGTGCCATGGGAGCCAGGGCCGTGTGGCCACTCCACAGCCACCCATCCAAAACCCTTTTTCTCTCCCTGGGCTCTGATAAACGCCGCTGCTGCTTCCCCTTGGGTCGCTGGAGTATGGGGGGGGGTGTGAATAGACTGAAAAAGTGAGTGACCCCCCCCCTCCTCCTGCCTGCCGGCTCCACGCTATGGAAAGGTGTGGAGGTCACAGCTTGCCATCCCGCTGCATCCCTGGCTGGCTTCCAGGGAGCTCGGGATGCAGGTTTTATCTTGGAAAACGCTGGGCATCCTTGAGCAGAGGGATCTCACCAGCTGGGGCAGGAGCAAGCCGTAGACGGGGGCCGTTGTTTTTCGCCTAACGAAGGGGTTTGTGATTTTCCCTCAGGTTCTCATCCTCAGACTGTGCCAAATCCCGGTGTCGGACC